GGGCAATGAAATATTTTTGAAAAAGAAGCGTACAAATTCAGATATTGCCCAACATCACTTGAAAAAAAAAAAAGGTCCGCCATTGTTTCTGCCTCGCTTTAATTAAATGAGTCGCTCATGTGTGGTGCCGCGAGCGTCATGTGACTGTCGTCACTGTTGGGTTACGTTGGATTTGTGAAACGGGTCATGAGAGAGCGCACGAGGCAGAAGTTTCCCAGACAAACCAAAACAAGCAACAAAACGCCAGTCACAATCGATGGATTAAAACAAATGTAGCGAGTGCAATGGAGCTCGATGTAATGGAGTAAAAGTTGCATTCCTTCTTTCGGACAAGACAATTCTGTTCAAACGGTGACAGACTCAAAATTGCCAGTAGGGGTTAAATCGAGTGTGAATATTTGTTTTTCTATATTGCTGCCGTCGGGCCAGAACCTCCTATGTCACTTTTTTTTTTTATGTCGTTTTTTTTCTCCCCAACAATTTAAACTTTTGGACCGTCTATGTGTTGGTGTTATTTTTATTATGATCAAAAAATAAATAAATAAAATTGTTGATTCATTTAAAGAGTTGAAAATGGCTTGCTCAGATTTTGGAGATAGGAGGATTCCGCCCGGCGATAGGCGCCTTGAGATTGGCCGGCAACCAGTCCGGGCTGACCCCGCCCTCTCCTCCAAAGTCAGCCGGGGATCGGTTTAAAGCTCACGCGCATCCCTCATGAAGACAATCGCTGTCGAAAACGGACTGCTGGACACTCCTCAACTTCACTTTGTTCTTTCACGTTTTGGCTCCATCGCTTTCAAGTCCTCCTTTTTTTAAAAGTGTAATTTACTTCTGCGACCAGTTTGCATGCAAACCTACACAAGCACACCGGTTGGTCCGGTCTCCAAGCCAAGAAGAATTTGGACGCAACCACAAACGGGAGTTTTCAAAAACAAAGCCGCGTTTGTTTTGGCAAGCGTACCTTGGCCGCCAAGCGCTTTTGCTCCTCGAGCCTCTTCCGTTCCTCTTCCTTCTCCTGTTCTGGGGTGAGGTACTTTTCGGCCGTTATCTAGTAAGTCACGGGAAGATTTCCCTTTTACCGACAAACAAAAGTGACACGTTGATCAAACGATACGCGGGATGAAAAGAGTCGGTTGGGTCACCTCGGAGTCCTTCACGACAAACACCCTCTCGGGCACCTCCCTGTCGTTCAGGACGGGCACCCACAGCTCCTCGTCGACCTCCAGTTCATCCAGGAGCTCCTTCACTTGCTTGTTCCTCTCTTTCACGCGGGCGATCTCCTGCACCTTTTGCTTGTACACCTTGTCAAAGTGGGCGTTGAGGGCCACCTTGATTTGGAAAATCACATCCTGCATATTGGGAAAAGAGAAATTTGGGAGGAGAAAAAAAAAAGTGATGGCTGTCACTTTGCATCACCCACATAGGTGGTTGTGCTTGTGTTTTTTTTTTTTTTGAACTTGCACTCGAGTCTATATTACCATTTGCTTGGAATGTATGATAGCATACGTGAGTTGAATGGCAGGCCCACCAGTGAAACCGGCCGAAGTCAGACATGCTTTTATTTTTATTGTTCGCGGGCTCCCTCTACTGGAGCGAAGCGTAACTTACCCTTAGGCCAATGTCAATGCGGTTCGGTACATGCCGACGTCATCCTGATAATGAATCGGAGTGTTCGACACGTGTTTCCAGATCGATACCAGTACAAGTACTCAACTCGAGTGGTCACTGATACCGGGTAACCGATACTACGAGTACTTTCGATCGAAAAACTACTATTAAAGCATGACGGGTCATTTTAAAGAAAGAGCTTTTGTTTATTTCTGACAAAAGGCAGAAAAGTCACCCTGCGGTAGAGATTTCAGTCCAAAATAAATCACAAACAGCTAACTCTGAATTTGGAATAAAGTAATAAAAGTGCAAAATGAAACTAACCATTACCGTGAGTTTTAGTCTTTGTTCAAAATACATTTACGAAATAGGGCTGGGCAATATGGCTGAAATTTTAGTGTTCCTTATCGCTCTCTCTATTTTATTTTTTCACATATTCAAAAAGGAAAAAAAAAATCTTAAATTGATTCAAGATAAAATATCATAAAATACAACCATCCAGAGGAACAACACCATGTTACAAAATATTGATACATACAAGTACAAAAAATAAAAGTGACGAAATGACAAGCATAGCATGCTGTATAATACACTCAAGTAAGGATTGCACTATAATGGCTTCACAAAATCATGGCCACAACCTTTCACGGCGGGGACTTAAATCCAACTCTTAATGCCACACGATCGCATCGCAATTTTTTATATCGTGAAGAGATTCTCACCTGGAGCAGAACGATCTGGTTCAGCTTCTGCTCGGTGGTGTGCAGGCTGAACTGGTCGTAGAGGTCAGGGTGTGACAGTCCCAGCTCAGCCGAGTAGCTGCTCGCGACTCCGCTCTGGGCCTCCGACAAGTCCTCCGTCTCTTCTTCTGCAGCTTTTTCTTGGGCCCTCTGCTTCGAAAAGGTGGAGTAGCGCAGTGGTTCACAAGTGTTCGACAACCCACTACCGCCTCATAAAACTCTCAGCTCTCCAAGACATTCAAAAAAACGTCGCGCATTAGACCTAGGTGTTCATAAAAAAAAAAAAAAACAGGTAGAGCTTTCATTCCTAAAATATATATGTATGTATTTTTTGATATACTATTAACAAAAAGTCCATTTACAATCTTGAATACAACTTGAATTTAAGAGTTACAACCTTGTGAAGAGTGTCAGAAAAAAAAAAGAAAAAATAAGAGTCAGCCAAATATTCTATCACGAGAATGTACACTACGAGGACAAAGTTGTGCTTACAGCCTGTTCCGCCTTCCTTTTATTTTCAACTCTCCTCAGGGCATCCAACTCGGCTTGTGGACGCTCTTTGAGTGGGTAGTTGGTCACCTCATGCTCAGTGTGAAAGGCCTGGAATTGACAGGCGCATATTAGTCATATCCCTCACGTCATTTGGAGGTGGCTTGAGAAGGCCTTTCATACCTTTACCGCTCTGTCTTTAACTTTCAGAGAATCCCAGCAATCCCTCTTGATGAGATCACGCTTGTAGCATCGCTCTAAAATCTCCATCTCAATCCTCTCTCTCACCTGCGCTCAAGACTCGCATCAGAAACGACGTCGGAGAAAAGAAAAAACGCGCACTGCCCGCGTTACCCTGGAAACTTCCTCGTCCAACGCGGCGTCGTGCATCCTCTGCCTCTCGTCGTCCACGTTGAACTCCTTCAGCTCCAGTCGCTCAATTTCGGGAACGCTCTCATTTTCCAGAATCATCTCTTGGATCTGCCGACATGGATCCATTCTGTCAAAAACGTATTTTTGCGTTTCGTTTCAATGTCCTAGCATTCATGCGGATGCCACGTTCCACTCACGGCGCTGCGGATCTCCTCCATCCTGGCCTGCAGTCTTTCCTTTGTGTCTGAATAATTCAGATCATCTTCGCTTAGATACTGTGAAATAAACAGTACAAAAATAAACATGCCGTGTAACACTTGTGGATTTAAAAAAAAAAATGGAAAGAACCTCTGAGATGATGCATAGATAATAATTGCCACGCGGTGTACAGAAAATACAAAATGGTATACGCTTTACCTCACTTTCTGGTTGTGTTTCAGTGTCAGTTCCAGTAGACTCTGTATTGGCATCCATGGTGGGTTGAGCTGTTTTACCACATCAGGATTTCAAGATTTTAGTTCTGTGCAAGCCCCAGGGGACGGAAACATACCGGACACACTCAATATCATAAACGGTGAGGTATTAGTTTGCTCCAAAAACATAAACTAGTACAAAGACACCAGCATACACCGTTTCCTCAAACACACCTTTTCCTGAGGGATACACTGCATATAATATTATGTATGTATTATATAACTACATTTACACACTCCGTTAATCAGTATACACAAAACAATGCATTCAGATTTTTTTTTTTGCTGTCTCCTATTTCGCCACAAGATGTCACTAAAACGAAGCTCTGAGTGATGAGTCAACCCATTTTCGATCAAATTGAGCCACTGGTTCCTTGCTTTGCATCGAACCTGAACATATTTACCGTACACGCAATGCACTAAACGCCTTCACGTGGTTTTACATCAGTCCCGAATCTTCTCGCTAAAACTTGGGAACGGGTGATGACGTAATAATGAGTCATAACATTGCTTAATAAGAGTCATAAACGTTTGTTTCCTTACCGTCTCCCGCTAACAAAACTAACTTTTTGTTGCTGCTAGTAGGAAGATGAGGAATATTATTATCACATCACGTATTAGCATTAACACACTACAGTACTTATATTATCACTGGCGTATTGCGAAAATAAACGGAGAAGGTTCAGTGTTTGTGTCGCGGTCTAATTGCGTCATTTCATTTTTGACAGTGTCGCCATGTCAACCAAAATACACACGTTTTAAAGTCATTTGCAACCACGCTATGTCGTGATAACACGATTGAATAAGGAATACTTGCTAACAGAACTACTTGGTCGGTAGCTATATGTCAGAAGTTATTTCCTGCCAACAAATTAGGAAATAGGCACATTCAGCACATTTAGCATTGTCGGTCACGAAACCAAAACTTACCTTAACCTGGAATATGTCGAGAATGAATACAATGTTAAATACTAAGAACAAGTGCCCAAGACGAAATAATAGTTTTTGCTGCATGTAATACTTCTTAACCTCAATCGATGAAACCAACCAGTATTTTCCGCTGTAGTGCAGCAAGAATAATATGGATACTCGGTTTTGCAACAAATCTAATACCTCACTCATACATTTAAAAATCCAAGACCTCACTCATAAATTTAACGAAATAAACTAATTTGCGCGATTCTTCTAAACCGCCGATTTAACGAGCTCGAGCGTATCCGTGGCAACCAGATACGAGCCAGCGCCCCGCCCCCTCTCCTTCTTCAACTCTCATTGGGTGATGCGTTTTCCCGGAAGTCAGGGTAAAATATAAATATTTTCACCCCTCGTCGTTTTTACTCCTCCCTGCAAGTCGTCTGTGTAGAAAATCCTTCAGTGAGCCGACTCTTTTAATTGTAAAAATGGCAAGTGCCAAGTGCGTCGCTAAAGGTAAGACATTTAATATGGGTTAATATATTTAGCAAAACGTCGCTTACGTAACTGCGATTCTGCAAAACGATACATATTTATTTATATAGCGCTTCCGTAACAACTGCATCTGTAACAAAACGCTTTACAGAACCCATTTCTTGACATATGCATGTGACTACACAATTCTATGAACTTTGTGTCACATTTTTATCGAAATGTAAAGAGGTAGTGCGCTATTTAACTTGGATACAGCTGCGGTTTGCTTTATTGTCATCCTGGTGTTAAATCTCACTGGAATAAATCATTAATTCAATGAGATTCCGACGAGCCATAATTACGTATATAGGTAGCAGTTAAAAAGTTCTGCCTTGAGGTCGCGTGACTCAGCATTTGTTCAAGTGTGTTGAGCAACTTAACAATTGCGGCGATTTCATTACTTCTTCGCGAGGTTTTTCGAAACCCCCCGCTGTGTGTGTGTGTGTGTGTGTATGTGTATATATATATATATATAGCACTTATTTTTTTTCCACTGAAAGCATTGCATGAATATATGTCATTCGAAAAGAGTTTGGCAGTAATACTCTAAATATATATATATATATATTTTTTTCTGTTCCTTCCGTCATGGCAAACCAGTTTATTAATGTGCTACTTCTTAAAAAATGGCCTGTACAAATATCTTTATTTCCTCAAAACTGGAATGGAGACTTGGCATTAGTCTTGCATATCGTATAACTTCTGCCGGTCCTGCTTTTCACGCTTGAGAAAAAGAATGCTACTTGGGTGTGCTTTGAAATATGCTTTTGATAATATGTCGAACAATGTTTTGTCGTTACAAATGCGAATCAACATGCAGTGTTCACAATGTGAATATTTTCCAAGGGTGTGCTGCGCCCGGACCCGTGCCAGCCGGCTCCATCAGACTATACAGCATGAGGTTCTGCCCTTTTGCTCAGAGGACCCGACTGGTGCTGAATGGAAAAGACATCAAGTAAGTTATTCGCCCGCTCGGTACGATTTAAAACCAAATGTGCCTTTTTTTTTCTGTTTTGTTCATTAGGCATGATATTGTCAACATCAACCTGAGAGACAAACCCGATTGGTTCCTGGAGAAAAATCCTTTGGGCCAAGTGCCCACACTGGAGACGTCGGCGGGGGAGGTCATTTACGAGTCTCCCATCACCTGCGAGTACCTGGACGAGATGTATCCTGAGAAGAAGCTGCTTCCCGAAAAACCATTTGGAAAAGCCGAGCACAAGATGTTACTGGAGAAATTTTCCAAGGTCTTCGAGCTTGGTCATGGAACAAACTAAACACAAAAACTCAATTCATCACTGTTTGACAACGGCAATCTGAATTTTGTGACAGTTAACACCATTAACCTACAAGATTCCAATGGGCAGACTGAAAGGCGAGGATGTCTCCGGACTTCATACGGAACTGACGCAGAAGTTCCGAGAATTAAACGAGGTCTGTTCACCTATTTTCTCTTTGTGCTTTGATTATCAAGAATGCGAGTTGTCTTTCGGAACTTCGACAATAGCTCGGCCTATATTCCAGCACCTGGCAAAGAAGAAGACAAAGTTCTTTGGTGGAGATTCCGTCAACATGACCGATTACATGATATGGCCGTGGTTTGAGAGGCTGGAGCCCCTCGAGTTGAAGGAGTGAGTAATCCCCTCCCAACGTAAATGGAAGATAAGAATAACGATTCTAATTTTGTCTTATGTGACCGCACCGTGAAAGAACAGCAGCGTTGCAATCGAAGATAATAATGACAATGCTTCTTCCCCTTCGACCTTCCAGCTGCTTGGACGATGCGCCTGAGTTGAGGAACTGGGTGAAGCTCATGTACGAAGACCCCGTCGTCAAAGTTAGCGGGCACAGTGTGGACGTCTACAAGGCCTTCTACAAGACCTACCTGGAGGGCAAACCCAATTTTGACTACGGCCTGTAGAGTTGAGACAACGCTGAACCGCGCCTTGATCTGTCCTTTTTTTTTTTTTTTTTTTAAATAATTTTGGTTATTATTCAAGTGCTAAGTCACACACATTGCCGAATAAAACCTGTTCGACTCTCTCGGTTGTTGTTGTTTCAACTGCTGTGTAAAAAAAAAAAAAAAAAAAAAAATCAAGGGAACATTCGCAGTGACATTGTGCTGCTTGAGTGTTCCTTTTATTTCTTTTTATATATACCTGTATATATTTTTAGCAATTTATAAAAATCTGGAAAAAAAAGTTGCGTTCACAGTCTGAGAGGGGAAGTGATTTTATTGGCTAAGGGTGAATAAAAATTTGACACGAAACTGCAGTAGCTGCCATCAAAACGAGGTAGTTTGCATTCTTCTCCCCATTTGTTTCCAAATTGGTGTTCATCGGGATAACTTTTTTTTTTTTCTTTTTGCAAAAGGTATTTAATACCCGCAGCATCACGAGTACACCGTGCAACTAACTCCTCCATACAATGGAGTAAACAATACACCCCTCGGCACCCCCATATTTTAAGATGCACCCGCTCTTACAGATCAGAATCGTTTACTGAATTGTACACTATATGAACAAAAGAATTGGGACACTTGGCCCTGAAAGAAGTGAAAACGGAAGAAAACTCGCGGCTTCCTAATGCCTGCCAAGAGTGTTGCCCAGAGGGTCTCCTGGCTCACCATTTCTGTTCTAGTTCAGCCCAGAGGTGTTTGGTGGGCTTCATCCACGCCAAACTCCTCCGAGCATCCCTTCATGGACCTTATTTTGTGCACGGGATAAGAAAAGCGCTTTGCCCAAAAGGTTCCCACCGAATTGCAGGCATAGAATTGTTCAAGAATTCAGATTCTGGGGCGTGACTACGCAAACCCCCGGATTGATTTCTCATCCCTCTAATGATTCAAATTTTAAGAGCCGCGTCAAAAGACTTTTGTCCATATAGTGTAGCAACAGCACAACACGTCAATATATGCGTAGGATTTCTTTTTTAAAATGTATTTTCCACAATGTAAGACACACCTAAAATCATTTTTTCAAAAGCCGACAGCGCGCCCTATAATGCAACATTCTGATTTCTTGGACATAGCACTTTAAATGTTCTGTAAAGCGCTTTGTTACAGCTGCGGCGGTTGTGAAAGCGCTATATAAATAAAGCTGTATTGTGTTGTATTCCTTTAACATAGCTCCATCTAGTGGATGCATAATGGAACTGCAGGTACTATTGTAGCTCCTATTCTGTGCGCCGTATAACGCGGTGCACTTTACATATGAAAACGGTTTTAAAATAGGCCATTCATTGAAGGTGCGCCTTATAGTGCGGAAAATACGGAAAGTGCTTTACGTCTACCAACTTGTTCAAATGCTTCTAGTAATCCAAGCCTCCACCAGACATCGAGAGTGGCGTGTACTCTTGTAAAAGCACGGCAGCGTTCCTCAACATCTCTTGTAAGTGGCACACCGTGGCGGCGTAAAGGTCCCTCTTCAACACCAAACCTCGAAAGAGATTGACCGGCTCCGCTTTGCGGATCGTCTCGGGAAACCGGATCTCTCGCGGCACTCTGCCGTTTCCGATGAGGACGTGATGGAGTCTCTTCTCCCGCAGGCTCCCGCGCATGAAGCCGAACATGTCTCGCAATCTGGACTCGGTTTTGTCGGCGCTCCACGCCGACGGTTTGTCGCGCAGCAACAGATGCAAGAGGACCGTCTTCCAGTGGTAGTCGGTCAAAGCGTTTCCCCCCGTGAGGGTCGTCTGCTTTGCGTGCAGGAAGGTGACCACCTGAAGGCAGTGCAGATGGCAGGAATGTCGAGGTAGGAATTTGGCCAAGTGTTTCAGGAGATTCCTCTCGTAGATGCCCAGCGAGAGAAGCCAGAACGGATCCGGAGGACCGTCGCCGTCCGAGGGGAAGTGAGAGACCAGATAAGCGTCGGTGTCCACCAGCTGGATGGCCGGTATGAGGTTCACCATGATGGCCTTCCCCGAAGGGAATCGGACCTTGAGGGCGCCCGTCGCGTCCAGTCTGCGAAACGTGACCTCAAAATCATACTTGTGGGAGATGCGCCCCCACGCTTTGGTGAGGGACACCTGAAACCACTTCATGACTTGATCCTTAGCTAAGAGCGACGTTCGTTTGGAGCAGAGCAGCGCGTCGAGATCGCGGTCCACGACGTGCGCCGTGTCGGTTTTACCGTGCAGTAAGCACAGCATGTCCTCTCCCAGGTTGGCAGAACCGCACAGGCAACCCCCCTCGCGGTCCCCGAACCTGCTCACCTGGACGGTGCCACAGCCTTGCCTGTCGGGGGGCATGTCGCTTGATGGTTCACACCAAAGGTTGACCCGGAAGTCGAGCGCATCCGGAGGTGATAAAGGCACCACCAGGTCGCACGTCGGAGTCTTCCGCACTTGCCAAGACTCGAACATGCTTCCGATTCCGACAAAGTCCCCCACCTCCATATCGGCATCTCGATCGGAAATGCTCCTGAGGGACTCCAGGAGGTCGTCGGTAAAACCCTCCACGAACTCCCTCATCCTTCCGGTGTCGTGGGACGAGATGTAAGTCCATCGGTCGTAGAAGTGGCTCAGGATGTCCTTGTCTAGTTCCAGCGCTCGAGTAGGGAGCGCCTCGTCGTCGTCATCGAGCGCCCCCGTGTCCGACTCGAACGTGTCCATCCTGCCCATCTCGATGGCCAAGAACACCACGAAGGACACCGTGCCCCAGAAGTACCAGCTGTAACCGTCCTCCCAGCCGCCGCCCTCGTCCTCCTTCGCAACCGCCCGCGAGAGCTCCGCCTCCAGCTTGGACCGTTCCCTTTCCAGCCTCTCGGCGTGCTCCCGCATGCGCACCATCAGTTCTTCGTCCTGCGCTGCGATGGTGGCGTTTTCTTGCGGAATAAGCGAGGGGTGGTTCAAAATGGCGGCGGCGACGACCATACACAACCTTGCGATGGCTCCCTGCATCTTTGGCTTTGGTTCGGGTCACCGCATCTAAGTGTCTCGCAGGCGACCGTGCAGCTGCAGCTCACTTCCTGGAACACACAACAACAACAACAAAAATGGATTCACTAAAATGCAAAACCTGAGACACATTTGTGAAGACTTTTTTGGAGAGATCCCACAGAAAGTGTTTACCCATGTTTACAGTTGACACAGAAATAACAACAACATAAAAATATCGTCGAAACACTCCTGCAGTACCTCCTCTAGGTGTCACAGTTCTTCAACTACCTTTCTGTTCCACTCGCGGCCTGATTCGTGGTCTCGAGGTGTTGGAACAAAGAACAGCGAACCAGAAAGGTGGAAAAATGACAGCTCTCAACCACATCGAGGCAAATCTCAAATAACAGGTCGCGGTTGTATGTAACATTTCATTTAACACAATGACAAAATCTTTCTTTCTGACACAGATGATGATTCGCCGATATATCAGACTGACGCAGTGTCGCGCCAACTACTGCCAAGGGTGACTTATTTGAAAGCAAGAATTAAGTAAGTGGCTTCACTGTTCCACTACTTTCTGAGGGGAAGGTATTTTGTCCAACGGTCTCAAATCCCAATAACCACAACCAAGCACAGTGACAAAACATAAATGTATGATATTTGTGGACGTGTGCTGAATAAAGTGGGTGCCATTTTAACAGGAAGACCATCCAGCTGTGTGTATAAAGCACTCCACCCATTGGAGGGAAGCAGATTAACTACAGCATCGGCAAGCCGAGTGACGCACTAACACATGAGAGGAAGGAAGCGTGAACATCATTTTTTTGTTGTTGAATGATAACCTTTTATTGTTCACAGCAAACGTGCAAAGAACCACCCCCCCCAAAAAAAAAAAACAATAATAATAATAATTAGGGGAGAAGCCATCTGAAGTTTATTCATCATGAACCATGAGACTCAGGGAAGAATATGATTAACATTGCAAGAGGAAGTTACATAAAGGCCTTGCATAGTTTTGCTGCACTTCACTCAACTCTGGCGAAACACGACAGGATGGCATACGATAACGCAATTATCAACATGAAGGAACGCTCCTCACATGAAAATAGCCATATGGCCATTGGGTATGCGCATGGATGAGACAGTTTTTTTTTTTTTGGGTTTTTTTTTTGTGCTTTAATGAAAACAGTAAGGATGAGCAAACTTACCCTTTGGCGTATATAGAAAATGGACGCCTTCCAACACTGTCTTGGCTTAGTTACACACAAGTTGATACTGCAAATATCAAAGGGCTCAGCTTGCAAACGTCACATGACCAAACCCAGAAAACAGGTGAGCCGTGACTGTCGTTATACTGCAGGCTTTGGCACTGGATATCATTTTCAGTTGAAAAAGCAAACAAGGCAAAATGCCCCTGAGACGATACTCGTACAATACAATAATACATTCCATCTTTATTGATATACCGCTTTCAAAATAGCTGCAACTGTAACAAAGCGCTTTCCAGAACCTTTAACATAAAATGGCAAAAATACAATGGAACACATCGACAGCACTACAATCGTAACAACTGTTTGCACACGATTTCTGACAGATCAAAACCGGTTGATTTTTTTTTTGGTCTTAATTCATATTCCACAGAAACAATATTAACCAGAATACAGAGTTTAGACAAGTGTGAGTGCATTGAACGTTTTATTGTAAATATATATTTTTTAAATTTGGCATCCCGCTTTACTGAGCGTTATTTAATAATGCCACAGTTTCTATGAATCACGAATATACTTTTGGGGATCAAAACCCCTGCCTCCTTTTTTAAAAAATGAACAGCTAGACCGCATTCCTGCATTTTAATGTTGGTTGTGATGGCGTTGCATTGCGACCGATGAAGTTTTTGAGGTGGTACATGGGGTAAAAAGTGATACAACCGCCGTCTTAAGTCATGGGGAAACTTGAGCGAGTCTGACCTTTTTCTGTTATTAAACGTCTTAAGTGCATTCATGAGGTCAGGCTTACTGCTGGGGGAAAAACTCCTCCAACTTTATGCGAGTGTGCCAAGGGGGACTCCTCCTCTGTTGTCAGGGCAACAAAATAGGAACACGCGGGCACACTTACTACAACGTGTTTCCAGACACGAGTCACGTTGCAGTCTGGTGCTGCCACAACAACAACAACAAATGGGTTGTTATGACTATTCTTTATGTGTGGGGTTCCTTATAAGAGAATTGATGTGTTAAAAAGGGAAGTAGTATCGTATCCGTATCGATCATCTTAGCAGTTCTCAGCTTCCCGCCTTACGCAAAGTTTAGCGGAAGTTTCATACCCTCACGTATCTGAAATAGTCACTGCGGTGGCCGAGACAGATCAGAACAATAAGGTCGGGGTTTACCTTTCACGCAATATCTTCTTGGTTTCATGATGAGATTCTTTATGTAGTCGTCAGTCAGGCTCTGTGGATTTTTGGGGGAATCACGGGGAGTGCAAGGTTCCTTTTCGGTGACATTTCCTGTTCGAGCGCTCCACCCAGAAACGGAAGTCACGCCCAAGAGGAAGAATCACCATATTTGGCCAACAAGCTGTACTGCGCATGCGTGAATATTGGACGGCTTGAAGAAACCTCAATTTCAGGGGTAACGAACCCATTTTTGTCGAGGGCCACATTTCAGTTAACGTTTCCCTTGGAGGGCCGTTATGACTGAAACCATATAAAGTAGTCAAGAATAACAGTTTATTCAACAACTGTTTAGGTTACTGTCGTGAGATGTTTGGTAACAAGAAAATCCTTACAAAATACAAGTTTGCATCTACTGTTTAATTTTACATCAACATTTTAAACAGCATTTTTACTACAATACACAGAAAATAATACAGGATGTTTTTTTTTCGCTCCAAACTATTCTTTGTGCATACATTCTAGTCTTTATGGTAAAGTAAATTCATTCTCATTTGTTGTTTGAATATGTTTAAATACAGAACAATTTTTAAAACCAAGATTAAAATATATTTTCTCAGTCTATATTCTTTTGCACCACATACAAACACAGCCACAGGTCTCCAAAACAGACGAGGCTTAAATCATCCTTTGACAGTATTCACAAAGAGGATTTTCGTTTTTTGGGTGACATTTTCGGATGAACTTTATATGCACAGTGTGACACCACTAAGCAGGTTGCAACAGATCTAGAGAGACTGGAAGAGTCACAGAAAAGCCTAAAAATATTGACATTTTTATGGGTTCAACTGTTGTTGTAAACTTTGCTGTTCACCTCCTTGTAAAGAGCAGCAAGTTGTCTTCACCTTTTGCGCTTTGCCTTTCTGCTTGATGTCGTGCAGGATTTGGATCAAGTTTTTCATGGCGTCCATGCCTTGCTCCTGTGTCCACATCCTCAGTAGCTGCAGCGTGCGCTCCTCACTGTCATGCGGGTTGTCGATTTTGCAGCCGTCAATTCTGACCGGGTTCATCCCGCTCCGCATTGCCACTTCGACCATAGTTTTCCACCCGAGGTCTTTTGCGATCGCGGGCAGGTGCCGCGAAGGGTCTGTATACGGTACTAAAGTCAAAGATGACAAAAATGACAATGGTCGAGGTTCATGGCAAAGCCGGTGGATAGACTGGAGCACAGATAACGTTACTTACTGTTAATTGGCTCCATCTCCTGGGACAGAAAAGTACAAAAGAAAGTCAACTCCATGCTCCATGTTGCCGGAACGAAATATCAAAACGGTTACAAGCATGCTGACGAGCACGACGACGGTTCGAGACGGCTGACCAACCTGTGCCTCCTACAAAATGGGGATCTCGCAGCAGTAACACAGACAAATCAGAACAACACATGAACGCCGCACGTGGTTGTTTACATTCAAGTCGTCCATGTTGCGTTCAACTGACATCGGTTGTCATTTTTACCAAATAACTTGCTACAGCGAACAAAGCATTTGCCTGACAGGCCAAAAGCATCATTATTTTTTTATCATTGCATTACCTCCAAGCTCATGAAAATGCAAATAAGATATGCCGGAGTTCCCCAGGGATCCGTTTTAGAGCCACCACTACTGTCTTGACACGCATCACAAATATGCATACACAACTTTTGTGGAAGTACTTACCAACCGCACCGTCGCTGGATTGTTCGAGCTCTGTTGGTTGTTCCTTCCTGATCAGTCAAATCATCCAAAAACGAGGTATGCCATTATTAAGATGAGCAAACACAAACCGTACCACACTAGCTGTACACTACTAGGAATACTCACGCTGTTTGCGGTTCCTTCGAAAGCACACACCAATCACAATTATTGTGACAGCTGCACAAGCTACAGCGACTGCTATCCAGACATGACTTCTCACTAAAGCAAAAGCGTTAAAAAGATGATCATCCACCACGTCAATGCACAAATTCATGACAATGAAAATGTTTCAAACCATACCTTTTAATTTGTCATTGCATACAGTGTCATTGGTGGCTGTGCAGGCTACTTTGACGCCTTCCAGGCCGCACCTGCGCCCCCGCCCAAAAAACAAATCTCAGACAGGGGATACAAACGTTATCTGATATACTGTTTGTGACGATCAACTTACTCTGTACAAGAACTGCAGAGTTTACAGTCTTGATCATTGGCGCTAATGCAATAGTGGTGCGCTTTGCACCGGCACTTGGTGTCGCGTGCTCGGGTACAGGCCGACTCCACCTCCAGATTGGCTACACGGGAAGTATGTTGACATGAATTGAAGTAATGTCTTTTACGAAGTCATAAAAGAAAAAGACGTACCATTTTGATGTGAGCAGGAGGTGCAGCGCTTGCAGTTGCTGTCCTGGTTTGGGTGGCTGTTGTACAAGCCTGGCTCACACAGCTCACATTGCGTATCTTGTGGACTGGCAGCAGTGCAGTGCTTCTTCAGACGCTGACCTGCCAGGACAAACCATTTGATGGAGTGATAAGTGATCAAGTGATCTTTTACAATAAGTAAAAAGAATTCAAGTTGTCAGTGTTGACCAGTCATCTGTCACGCCCTTGCAGGAACATTAAAAAGTCTTTTTTTTTTAAATTGTGGTTGTAGTTCGTAATGCTGTAGAACCGCATTGCATTGTACCGAGGGCTGTTTTTAAATTGTTGTATTACTCATTATGCATTTTCATTTAAAACAGACCTAATAAATTGATACAAAGGAAAAAAACGTCGCACTTAACGTATATCTGCCATATGGTTTGAAATTGCTCAGCTTTGGGGAGGGGCAGCTCTGTATTGTGCAAATAAAGATGGCGGCTTTTGTTACCATGACGACCGATGGCCGAGCTCCAGCTACTTATTTGCCAACTTGGACTTTGTTTCCGCCAAACAAAAAAATGATAGACGATTTAGTATAATCTTTGCATGGATGTTCCCCGTTTAAAATGGTAAAGTTTGTCAAGATAATGTGGTAGCTCACCAATGGCACACAGGCAACAGGTTATTGAGTCATGTTGGTACAGTCCATCCGCACACAGGACTTCTCTTTTCTTTTGCAGCCGCGATGACGCGTCGACGCCCCTGTCGTGCGGTAAGATTCAAAAGTGAAAGTGGGAAACGTGCATTTAATTTGATAAATAGAAGTTGACACGCGAAGGCGTGCTTCTTCAAACAGCATTCGCGGCACCTTGCCCACGAATGTCACCCAGTGAAGCTTGATCAGTTTAATCGGACAGGTGCGTTTTCAAGTAAACTAGCAATAGCCACAAAAAGTAATTTTTGGTACATACAGCCAATAAAATAACATATTAAACTTTTACTTACAACGACAAATGGGAGCCGAACAAAACAAGGATGGAAAAACGAGTAAGCGACGAAGCGAAAAAGGAATAAGACGTCCTCATGTTCTTGTACACAAAGTGAAACTACTGTACAACGAGTATTCTGCGCATGCGTCCACCCCCGACGAGTCGATGGCCTGACTTTAGTTACGTTTCAGACAATAATACGTATGATTGTAATAAATGACTTTAAACAAACTTAAAAATACACGAACACAAATAAGTATATTTCTTAAGTAATATAGGATTGTGTTCATTCCTTTTCGATGTCATTCACGGGTGTATACAGTCATCTCTATTTATTCAAATAAAGGGTGTAGTCGGGATTTTCATGCTATTGCAATCCCACATGTATACACTAGAGGGAGACATTGTACTTTGTAAGAAGCGTAAGAAGACGTCCGAGAGTACGGTATGTATTTTTTTAACCAGTCTTTCAAATAAATATTACTGTTAATGTGTCTAGATTTGCCTCGAGATGTGAACGGAAAAACTTTTACAGATGATATAGCCAATAGCAAATGAATTGCATGACAATAAAATAAGAATGGTGTTATCATAATGTTGTTTTTAGAAGACGTTAAGAACAACCCATTTGTTTTCTATAGCGCCTGTCCTTGAACTGTACCCTATTTTTCCATCTGACTTTGAGCGAGAGGTGGTTTACACCTTGGACTTGTTGCCAGCTGATGGCAGCGAACATAAATGCAAACAACCAACCACATTTACAAATCAGGCTGTAGCCTACAGTCGCTAGTAAGGATAAGCGATACAGAAAATGGATGGAGGATTATTGTAAACCATGAATCGGTACTAAAAAAGTTAAATACAACTGAACTATACTTAGAAAATAGTTTTACCGTCTACCACTAGAGGGAGCACAACATATCCACAAGCATTCTGAGAACTCTCAAACTTTACATAAAGGCCTGAGCCAAGATTCAAAGGCAGATGCTCGGCTGTCAGGCAGATGTGCTGACCACGAGGTCACTCTGTGACAAGGTTATTATGGTTTAAGTTAAATAAATAAAGAAAAAAGAAATGGCAGACTAAATTCGAAAAAAAAAAAACATTTTGCAAAACAAACAAAGTCTTTAAGAACAATAGCTAAGAGATAGAAACTTTGTTTTTTGGCTTATACTCAACTAATACGCTATAGGCATATAAAAAACGAAACCCAATAATGAAACTAATAAAAGATTAATGAAACAAAGCATTTTTAAACATGCCCACTTTATAAATTAATTAAAATGAGCTTTCGAGCTCTTCTGTTGAGCACGTTTGCAATGTTAGAAGCTCAAATTTTGCGGCGCTGCTCATCCTGCGAAGGCAAAACTTGGACTGAGGCTCCAGCGCACGCACAGAACAGGAAGTCAAGAGTTGGGCCGCTCCTTGCGCTACAGGAAATAACCTCAGCGCTCATGACGCGGGTCTCTGGGGGGAAGCTCACAAACTTCCACTGATCCAACGTGGGTTTTGTGTTCACTGCGGTCAAAGGCGCTCTTATGTTCATGCTTGTACACATTCGGTAAATCTGTAAAACTGCCACTCGGCCACGTGTATGGCAAGCTGTTTGAGCATTTTTTTTCTCTTCATGTCAGAGCTTAAGTTCCATTTGCTAATTTGTCCCTCTGATGTAAGACAACTCAGTGTAAAAGTAGAATGGCTAGTTCACTCTTTGTCCTCACTACGACCACAACTTTGGCATACTAGTACGACCACATGGTACTAGTGTGGCAAAACTCTGCACAAGTTGACAAATGTGTACTACACTAGTAAGATATTGTTGTCCGATAATAAGTCAAACTTGTCCTACTGGTGTGCAAAAATGTCAAAAAGTAATGAAGGCAGTAGTGGGTAAAATATTACTTGTAAGACACGGTTATTCTACTAATGTACCCCAATAGTTATACTCGGGTGCACGATACTACAGGCAACCTAAACACACTTTAAACGGTACTGATGAATGATCCAATGACAGAAAAAAGTTCAGCATTGCATTCTGCAATGCATCCTGGGCCAAAAAGAACAACAATATACATTCAACAGCTATTTTGGTCTTCACAAGAACCGATGACAGTTCGTTTGAAGTGCCCATCCCTGGTCTCGATTACTACTACTCGTGCTGTTTATTTCCTCGCAACGCTTGCTTGCGCTTGTTTGTACGCTTGCATGGAAACCAAAATATCGAGACATAGTAGCTTTGCCAGCTTGGACCATTCATGAACCTTTTCTAAACCGTAAACGGCACTTATTTGCCCCGAGGGGTTCAATTGTGAACCGTTGTGGGGTACAAAAGAAAAAAAAGTTGCAACTTGTACAACAAAAAAAAACGGACCCCTTTGTTTCTGCAGTGCATAGAGCTTAAAATGGAAATCAAGGATATGGAAGAAGTGCTTCAGCGACTTTCCATAAGTGTGTGTGTATGCGAGGAGAGATCCCCCCCCCACCCCCCAACAGCAACACGTCCAGCGGTTTACTTAATTAGAGCTTAGTGTATCTTCAGCCCGTGTACGCAAATGGGATTTGAGGATGGCGGAGGGGGCATCCATTGGCAAAACAATGGAGAGGAGCGCCCATTGGCTCGAGGAAAGACAAGAATAAGGCCGTCTGGAAGATCCCGTCGTGATGGATCTGTCGGGTGTATTGATATTGCGGCGAGGAAATCCCGAGCGGGGACTTAAGAGGCTAAGCCGAGCCTGTAGGCTGGGCCACGCTCGCTTAAACCGCGCTTGTCCCGTCCTTTACCTCTCCTCTGAGTGGCTCACTTCATTAGGTACACATACCCATTGTGCAGGATGACTGCACGATGCGGAGACTGAGTCTGAATGTTTTTGGTCCAAAGAGAGACAAACTTACTTAATATAATAACGTAGACTGTGAAAGAAAAAAAAAGGATGAATTAAACATTTCAAAATGGCCTTTCCAGCATTTCACAACAAAGACACGAGATGACAGAACCCCAATTTGCAAACTCACATGATTGCCGCAAATGTCAATAATTTATATTTCAGTTTTTCCAACAGAATTTACTGTTTGAGGCCAACAGTCAACTATAGTTTTGTTGCTTAAATACCGTTCATTTAATGTTATCTAATCAATAAAAAAAAATGTGCTTGTTAAAAATTGTGGGTTTTTTTTTCTTGTTTCCCAAAATGTTCAAATATGATTTAGGTAACTATGCTATTAGATTGACAATATTGTTAAATCGTGTTTATGTGAAGAATGAAAATTTGCATTTACATCATTGTTATTTTTTAAAATAAATATATGATTCATATTTTTTTATCTATTGATAGCTGCGATGATCGATAATAAAACAATGATGTCTAATGTTGTTAATTTTGCATTATTAAGAAATATATGGCATTATGGCATGATATTAATTTAACAATTTTTTTAATGAAGCTTCAGTTTGGTTAAAAAAAAAAAAAATTCTAATTTTTGAACAGAATGGGCGCTTTGCTGCTAATTAAGACCAAAAAAACAGAATAAGTATCGTAGTAGAAACACATTTGATGCATTTACAATATGATTTTTGTGAATTACATCATTTTAAAAAATCTGCCTTTTATCATGGCAACAGTTTATGTGAAAAGCTCCCTATTCGACCACACATATACCGTTTGTCCCCACCGCCCCTCTCTCTCTCTTTTCTTTTTTTTTTTCTTTTTTAATGCAATCAAAACACACGCATGCACGCACGCACACACACCACTCACACGCATGAACACACACACAGTGCTATCACCTCCCACCCACCAGCCTGGAAAATATTAACCTCATGTCACCTTTTCATCTAACTTCATGCATCATCATACAAGCAGGGTTCCGCACGCATGCCACATGTGCCCGCCCGCAACACCATCCCCCTACCCCAAAAACACACTTTTTTTGTGTGTGTGTGTGGGGGGGGGGGGCGGGATACTGGCCATCCTGGTTCACACACAAAACAGCTCCTCAAGAGAGTCACAAGGGACAGCTCCGTCGGAGGAAGGCCAGAGAATTCTGGGAGTGGAAGAGGAGGCCGTTTGGTTGGAGAGGACCAAACGGCAGGAAATGAGAACGCTCCCCCGTGACTGGGCTGCATGTGTAATCGGAGGCCCAGATCAGTCGGAGGATTAAAGGAAAAAAGAAAAAAAAAAAAAAAAAAAAAAAAAAAAACGAGAAAGTTAACAGTTAGGTTGAGTAGGAAATGTTTGAGCGGACTATAAATAGACGATTCATGTCGGCGATGATTGCGAGAGGCATGCAGGCATTCATTATTCAGCCTCGTTCCGCCGACCGCATGGGAAAAAAAAAAAAGATTTCATGACGCCAACTAAACAGCTACTATGTCATAGGCGTGACAACTCGAACTATAGCGCGTTTTGAGCCATTATTTGGTGCTTTTACAGTAAACAGGTCAGTTTAAATGTGGAGGTACGCGCCTCTGGTGTAGTACCACCTTGTGCCACAACATGTCAGGCAGCACTGAGGGGCTACTGGGGAAAAAAAACACAACAGACGAGAGCAAGAAGAAGGAAGAGGCAACCATAAACTTCAATAGTCGTTCCCGAAGAGCGGAAATCATATTGTATTTTCGGGCTATAACTACGTCACTCCAGAGTGTAAATCAAACCAGTAATAAAATTGATCATGAAGTCACACGCTAGTTGCTATGACTTACTTTAATTTAGGATTACTTTAAAAGTGCATTTAAATGTGTTTGAAGCATGTGAGTGGGGTCAAAGAATGTCTTTTAATATATATTTTTTAATATGGTCCTTTATTATCACGAATTTTGATAATTATGGAACTGATTACAATAAACCCCGGTTTACCATCACATTTAAAATCTGTGATATAGAGAGACCATACTGTACATAAGAACACTGTTGGCTTTACCCACTCAAAGATCTTAAACACGTGTAAACAAAAGATAATTCAGCATTTAAAAGCGTATCTATCCAACAAAATCACATAATGTACATCTGCAACACTAACATAATGCAAAATGCTAAGCTAACGTAATTTCACATCAATATTACAGTCTGTTATTTAATATATATGAAGCAGCAACACTTCTTCCTCTATTTCGCTGGATCTCTTACCGGAGACCTCAG